AAATGGAGATTTAACCTTTCTGGTTTTTACTGGTAGAATGTTTGATAATTGAAACCCATCATTACTGTAAAGTTTTCTCTATTGAGCCTTCTTTATTTACAGCAGGCTTTTGAATAAGCCCTTATAAAAAGATTCCATACATCCTTTTTTTTCTTTTAATAAGCTTAAATAAATAGAGAACTTGGCTGCATCTTGAAAGAGGCCACGTTTAGAAGCTGATAGACTTGTGACGAGGAGAAGGAAGAGGAAGTGATAGGGTTTCCATATTCCATTTAGCCGGTTCAAATGCTTCCATTCATATATTCACATCTGTAGATTCGCATCTGAAGATTTTCACCAGATGTTAGCTACCAGTGAGTGATAATATGTGCAGTAGAATGGTCACACACCTGGACTAACACATGCACACAGCAATGATGATTCATTGAACTAAAAAAAGTCCTGGGGATCCATCTCCTATTTCCTTTATCCATGACTAGAAGCAAGTCCTGAGTTTAAATTAATATTAAATTAATGCTATGCCGGTATATAATGTTCAGGTTTTGAAAAACCTTTTCCTTCCCTGTAAAATAGACCTGGTTTTCTACTTTATTCTTAGAATGCTTGAGAATTTCTTTGGAATGTCTCTTGGTGGTGTTCATGAGCTAGCTAACTTGTTGGAGGTGGTGGAAGGGGCAACTGCCATTTTCTGTATTGCATTTTTTCCATCTCTTTGAAGCCTCTTCAACTGCCCATACTCCCCAGTCTAAAAAGGCCTGTAAGGAGTTCCTTCATTATGTCTTCTCATGAGGTCTAATGAAAGTAAAGGAAGCAAGGGAAGTGACAGACCACTAGAGAGATGATTTTGTAATGAAAGGTGGACCTGGCTATCAGCAGGATCCTCTTCTCCCATTAGTTTCTATTCATCCAATAAAATCTAGTTGAAAAGGCACCTTTTGAGTCCCATTGTTGAGGAATCACTGTCATCAGGGAGCATGAGGGCATGCCCTTTCTGTAGCTGCCCCTCTCCTTTCACCAGATGTCAGGAGTGCAACAACTCTGGCTGGCATCAGGAAAGCCACCAAGACCTGGCTGTTTGGGAACTTTTTGGCAGATTGATGATCTGGCAGGTTTTTTCCCTGCAGTAGGCAATTGTTTCAGTTCATACTATTTTCTTTGGGGTACCAGTAGCTAGGAAATGTATTGTTATTGGGTTTGGGGTGGGGTGAGTTATTCTTGTTTTTCTTTTCATCCTCCCTGTTTTATTTTGTATTACTGCAAGCCACTCAGAGCTTTTTTGGAATTGAGCAGCTTATAAATAAAAGTATAGAAATAAATAAATGTATAGAACACAGAGACATTCCACACATACTGTATGTATTGATGATCTCATACATGAATGAAACCGTATGCCGTCTTTTGAAATTTCACTACAATTCTTCATCATGAAATAAACGTTGAAACCAAATTCTCTTTCATAAAACTGGATGAGAACTGGTAGAAAAGTATTGCCAGAGGTTTTTTTTCTTTTACTTTTGGTATGGCAGTGTCTCACAATTCACTTACTTTTCTTTCAAGCACTCTCTTGAATTATGCTTCTTAACTTTTGCAAGGTTGCTGCATCAGATGCCTTCAGACTATGTTTCGGTTCTTAGATCTTGTCAAAAGTGACTGCATGGACCATTTATTTTGTGCCGAGTATTAAGAGCGACAGTGGGTCCTTACCTTCTCCCCTGCAGAAATTCTTCTCTGCCTATGTGCAGAAACTGCCAAGCAGTTATTGCCATGTGACTTCCATTTATTTGGAGAACCTCTCATGCAAATACCACTGAAAGGAATGATGGATGGAGCCCTCTTGTAAATAGCTTTTCCATTTATCTGAACTTACAATTATCTGCATATTTTGGATGTCTTCCCAGCCATTGTGAGATAACAACACTATATATATTTTAATGGGTTAATTGAGTTTAGCCGTGATAACGTTCAACTCTTTTGAAATATAATCAGAATTTTGTCAAAGCCTTCTCAGAGATGGAAAAAAGAGTGAGGTGACAAACGTTTTAAGTTTCAACAACTTAGATGCAGGGTTAGTTTTAACCCAAAATAGCCCTGTGTTTGTTGGGGCTAAACTTTCTAGGTTAGCCATGATGGGTGAACAGGAATGAGAGGGGTGACAGAAAGTGAAATCCCTCTTCATGCTGCCAGAATGGAGATGTAGTCCTAGAGTGACTCTGCAAAAATGGGGCTTCTCTAGGAATTATGTCTAGAGAATTCTTATCTCCTGCATGGCCTTGGGGGGTGGGGAGGGATGAAAAGGAGGAAAAAGGGAGGTGGGGATGAGACTGGCACTCTCAATTCCAACCTTAATTGGGCCTGCAATTTTTTTTCCCCAGAAAAAAAAATTAACAAATGCCAGCCTTGGTTACCTTTGCAACACTTAGAAGGCTATCAAAGATTGCTATTCCCCATTTAATTTGGGTGACTGTGATGATGTTCTGACAGTACATGTGGGAGTTGTCTCTAGAGTAGTGGCTGATTGGATGATTTCTGTTTTGTGAACACACATATATCCACACCCATTTGAGGGTTGATTGAATGAGTTTCCCAAGTTTTCTGTTTTGCTACTTAAGACCAAAATTGATACCCCATTTTCTGATTGGTTTGGGAAGTATTTTATGGTTCTGCTATGCTGTCCAGGTTCAGATCAGTTCAAACTTGAGTATGGCCTCAGACCAGAATGCTGTCGAAATGCTGATAATTAAAATAAAAATTACATGGTGGTAGTAATATAACATATTAATCAGTGTAAATTTTCCCATCTTGACTCTTGTTTCAAATATACTGTTTAACTCTGCAATGGAGTTACAATCACATAACAAGTCACTGATGCTGATTAACAACATTTGGCAACTAAGAAGTTGACCTTAGAATATCTGTCACTTAAAAGGAATTGAATGGAAAATTGATCTGAATGATCAGGACATTTTTTAAATAGAGGCTAAATTAAAGTAAGTCAAGAATCAGAGTAAAAGGGACAGAAGTTTGGATGGTGTTCGGTTGACTCAATCTCACCCTACTCATATAGACAGAAGGTTCTTATGATGTGGTTTTGTTGCAGGTTTATCCCTGAGCCATGGTCCCCTTGCAGTGCTTCTTGTGGTCACGGTACTCAGATGCGTGATGTCAAGTGCCGCATTTATCTCACGTTTACTCAGGCTGAGGCGGAGCTGCCTGATGATGAGTGTGAAGGACCCAAACCATTGGCTGAGCAGAGTTGCCACCTGGAACCATGTGATGGAGATCCTATCCCGTACACACCACCTTTTTCACACACTGAAGATGCTGGTGATGTTTTTTACGACTGGGAATACATCGGCTTTACTCCCTGCTCAGCTACATGCGTTGGAGGTATGGTGGTTTTATATTTTGTATTTAAAGGTATTTTTCCCAAACATGGTGAAAAGCCATACAAGTGATTACAATCAATATCTAATCAGGATTCAAAGAACTGAAAAACTTGTTCTTGGTGAAGATCGGATTCCTTCTTTAGAACTGGCCTTTTCCCTTTCTCCCGTGCACCATGATAAAATGGCATTTGAGATTGGGGGGAAAAAGAGTGTAACTAAGTGATAGAACTCGTACATTGGAGACAGAAGGTTCACGTATAATCCTAGGCATCTCCAGGTAGGTCTAGGAAAGGTTGCTGTCTGAAACCCTGCTGTCAGTTTTCATAGACAGTCTTGAAGCTAGATGACCCATTTAGCATACCATTAATTATCCTAATGTGCTCAGAAGGTCCACAGTGCATTTCCTAGCATTGCCAATTACAAGAATCAGGTAGGTGGTGATTGTGAAAATATCTTTTCCTAGAAGCATAATAGGTGGTTTCCAGATTGATAAAGATTCAGAAGACCCTTATATAACCAGCCAGCTGCAAGCTTCCTTGTTATCAGTGGAAAGACCCATCTCCTCACCAGATCACAGGAAAACCATTAGGAAGAAGATCAGAAAGTCTCCCCTCTAATATATGAAGGGATATACAGTGGTACCTCGGGTCACGAACGCTTCTGTTCATGACCAATTCGGGTCATGAACAGCTCCGTTCGCAAAATTTTGCTTCTGTTTGCGAACTCTGCATCGGGTGACGAACAGGATCCGCGGCCATTTTCCATGCTATGACACGTGGTTGTGGCTTCCAGTAGGGAGGGGGACTCTCCCTCCAAACAGTAACCGCCTCCCCACCCGCCTTCCT